ATTGGGATATGAAACACTTCCTGAAATGCTAATTTTAGATGTACACCAAAATATAAATCTTCATTGATTCAATTTATCAGGGCTTATTATACACCATTAGATAGAGCTTGTTGAATTACATCGATTGATTCAATTTTGAAAAGTGGCACAAGTCGTGAATCGAATATTCCTCAAAAATATCTATTTTGCATTTTTTCCCCCATGATGAAAAATTATATTTTATGGTTTTTTTCTTTGTTGTAGATTTCGTTTTTAGAAGTAAATATACCATTCGATAGAGCTCATTAAACTCTATCTGGCACACAACATTCCGTAGTTGGCACAGTTGATTGTGCGAATCGATCTAGAAAAAACTCGAATACTTCGCTAACTTCCCTTACATGATGATTTGATGTATTATACATATCTTTTCATAAATAAACATTAAATTCTTTTGCACGATATTCAATACCAAGAAATCCAATATTATTATTTGAAGTATTTCGATGAAATTCTTCAAGATTAAGATGAACTGAACAAGTTCGTTTCGTATTAATAAGCATAGCTAAAGCAATATTAAGTGAATTTGAAAATTGAACTATATCTCAAAGAACATATGTCCATGGATTACCAAAACGTAAAGTTATATCTTGTTCAGTAGTAATTCAAACTTTTTGTCCTCAACCAATTGAAACTTAACTGTAAGCTCTAATTGCTCCAACAAGATCAGCATAATCAAAATTAGCAAAAGTATGTGATGTTGTATATTTTTGTTTGTAATAATCATGAAAATGATTAGCATAATCTTCATAAGATGCATTTAAATGATAGATAGTTATTGTTGAATATTTATCTATTGGAGCCTTTTCATCCCAATTTAATGAACGAAGATGAAGTAATGTTGATGATATTGTAGATTCATCCCATGTTCCTAATACACTGCATGCAGCTTTGATTAATTCTGGAAGTAGATTAAGTCGACGAATATCTCAATATAATACACCACTACCAGCAGCAAGACCTCGAAGTTCTTCATCATACCATGTTGGTGTATATTTACGAGTAATATCATAATTAAGATCAAGAGCATCAGGCAAACCATATTCAGCAATCCATTTTGCAACAAGCTATTCAAAGAAAAAAATTGAAGCAAAAAAAGAAGTCCCATATTTATTTTTATGGGTGGTAATTGTTTAATCAAATCTTCTATCATATTATCCAAATAAGCAATATATTCTGGAACAAGTTGTTTAAGACCTTCACTCATTAATTGACCAAATACATAACCCATATCGTAAGATGTACTACCCTAAACATGAATAATATTTATTTTATCATAACCTTGTCCAACAACAAAACGTTTACCATTAGGTATAGAATTAATAAAACGTGGTTCTTCGCGTAAGACTTTATTTGTATTTAATTTATCTTTACAACTAGGATCTAATAAAGTAACCGGATATATTATTGCAATAAAACAGAATAATATTACAAGTTTACTTCTCATTGTTACTATTATGATTGATTTTAAATCGAAAAGAAAAAAAACAAATATTCAAATATATGGTTTATTCTCAAGTTGATATTCTTTGTCAATACAATTCTTTGTTGAATTTTCTACATAGATGATTACCAGAAGAAAATACAAATAGTCATTACCTTTCTTAAATAAGAAAATACAATCGGGCTAGTTAAAGAAATATGTATACAAAAGAAATATTAACTTTTATAAATATTTCTTTTTTGCATAAATCAATTTTTTTTGAAAGAAATGATCAATAACACTAGGGAGAAGAACATCACGTGCTTCTTTTATAACAGATTCTCTTGTAATAAGACTTGGCTGTAATTTTCAATAATTAGTTTTTGATAGTAATGTAAATTTTGCATATCAAATAGATATGTATTATTACCGATTGCTGATAACATTATATTTGTCCATTGTTCAAAATCAATGAATGATTGATTTGATCTTCTTTCAAGTGAAATATTTCATATAACTGAACTAATATCATTATTCTGTAAATCAGTTAAATTAATAGTCTTAGTTTTTGAATGGTTTTTTTTCATCAATATTATTCATGGAAATATTTAGTTTTGAAAGAAAAGATATATGTTTGAATTCGTTTAAGGTTTGTTTCATTTGTATAACATTAGTATCCGTATCACTTAATTCATCATCATCATCATCATCAATACGATTCGATGAAGATTTACGAGTAGAAGATGATTAAATTTGTTTATTACTATCATCAATTGTCTTTTCTTCTGCTTGAGCATCTTGTAATTTACGTTCTAATGATGTATAAATTATTTTATTTTATTCTTTTTGCACAGAAACAGACCTTAAGCGTCATCCCGTTTCAAAACCAAAAATTTCAAAATGTTTTGGTTTTTTTGCTCTGTCCGTGCTTTCAAGTGTCCTCTCGCTACTGGTGACATTTTGAGAACTCAAACATAGTCGTAAATCAAAAATAAGATCGAAAAGATAAAATGATTGCCGTAGGAGTATAGCACGATTTTTTCTTTCTTTCTCGGTTTTCTATAAACCCGATTTTTCAGCAGAAATCTACAGAATCGCTCCCGTTCCTCAGACGCAGTACACCCGATCGGGCTGAGATTTTTTACAGATATTAGAGACAGTTTAGGATGGCTACTTTGTTTTTGTTTTGAAAAATATAATACCATTGAATTTTTGCAGGTCTCAAAAGACAAGTACTATCCAAAAAAATAGACGTTTGTTGGGTTACTCTTCGTATTTGGACTTTTTTATTCGAACAGAACGAGATAAAAAGAAGCCAAAAACGTAGGCACCCTAAACAATGTCTAGTATCTGTAAAAACATCTCACCTCTGTATGACATACTACGGTTGAGAAACGGGAACGATTTGGAGAGTAGTTTTTAGTCATTGTGATCCCAATATCTTCTAGAACGAAGCATTGCGGAATTTTGAGTCTCTGACAACTTTTACTCTACACATTGAGATCCATGAGCTGTGAAAGTTTCAAAATTTTCTGATGAGACCTTCTCAAGAAATTCTAGAAAGGGAAAAGGGTTCCCTTAACAAGATTAATTTTTTTGTGAACTGACTCTGTGTAAAGTTTCAAGTTGAAATCTGGAATTCTATTTTTCTAGACTATGGCATTGGCTTAAAAAAATTCCATAAAAGCTTGGTATTCGCCACTCAAAAGCGATTTATCAGTTGGAGGTCTTCCCTGCTTTGGGAAGCCATCATGACTCAATAGCTACGTTATTCAACACGTATACATGTCGTAAAGCTACTGAATTTATGACTAGGCACTACTTCATACCACAATGTTGCTCAAAGGCAGAGATTTTTCAGTGGTTTTATTAAGAAACGATAGAAAATTTAAGAGCTAATCAGACTTCACGTACAACTCGCTTTGCCTATCATCTAAAATAGAACAACTTTGCTAATCTTTGATCTCTTGGAGTCTCATGATTTTATGGAATACAAAAATGAGTTCGTAATTTTTAGGAATATTGCGAATAAGTTCGAAATGACAAAATAAAGTAAGAGATAATGCAAGTACCTGTGTTGAATGTTTTTCTAATGTATCATTTTTAACTGTAATTTGTTCATAATATCGTGTTAAATCTTCAATTTCATTTTTATAACGATTTTTAACATTACGTAATTTCTAAATATCATAAATAAAACATGATTTATTATTGAAAATAAATCAAACCTCATCAAATTCATGTTTCATTTGTAATAAACGTATTTGTATATTTGTATTATTTTGTTGTTCAAGATTAAGATCTGATAATATATCACTTCTTTAAATGTATGAAATTAATTATTTTAAAATAAATATTATATGTATATATACAATTTAATTTCTTTTGCAATTCTTGTTTTTCTCTTTCAATAGTTTCGTCAGTATTATTTAATTCATTTGGTTGACGATTTTCAAGTGATTTATTTTCATGTACATGATTTTCACGAATATTATTTTCGATTAATCTATTGAAGAAAAGGAAAATATTTAAAATGATTTTTATTTGAAATTTTTCTTACGTTAAATCAACTTTCATTTTATTACGTAATTTTCGTTCTTCTTGTTCTTGTACTAAACTTAATTCTGTTTTTTAATTTTTCAATCTAAATACAATTATCTTCAATTCATTGTAATTTTTCATCATTTACAGACCTTAATCATAATCAAATGTTCGTTTTTTTAGAAAATTCAATAAAGATTTTATTTATTGTTCAAGTCGTATAGTTGATGTAGTACCTTTCAATTAAAAACAAGACTATAAGTATTTTATAAAACTAAATTATAATTTACATTAGATGAACTTTTATTTGTATTTAAAGGATGTTCAGCAGTTTGTGCAGCTAAACTGGCAAGTTTTATTCATTCATGATTATCTTCACTATTTTCCTCTATAATAAAGAAGATGATTCTTTTAAATGTTGGCTTATATACCTTCGTACATAAATAATAACTATTTATTTCAAGATATAATGTATTCTACTGTTTTTTGAACAAATTTTGATAGAAACATTAGAGAGACCTTCAGTTTTCATTATTAAAGAGAGAAATGTGCTCATTTTCCTCATAATTTAAAGTTGTAATATGACGAAGATATAGAAAAAAAAGTGTTTCTGGAATTCGACAATCAGTTTCTATGTAACGAAAACATCAATATCTTAGAAATATTGAGGTAACAATGTGAAACCAACGTGAGCACCGTTATTCAGAGCGATTCCAAGTTGATTCGTTGAAACCAGGAATCTCAGGAAACACTTATAACTTCCGAGCGGAAAAATGAAATTGCTTTTCATAAGTCTTTACTAAGAATTTGCTCAATTCTTCAACTGCGAACCAATTAAATGGCTTCGATTTCAATGATTTTGAATGATGAAAACAGCAGATCTCTATCATATTTAAAAAAAACACTTGATATCTTCAGTTTGCTTTTATCAATCGGACAGGTATTCTTTTGCTCGGTAATATAAGGCCCTGTTGAAAGAACTTATACGCTGTTTAACTTGATAAAATTTAAAGCATACTAGTCGACTATTTAGTGCTAAGTCGCAAAAGTATCTATTTGGCAGTTTTCTTGTGAATAAAAGCTTTAAAGATAGTCTAGTTATTGATGAATCACACTGTATATAAAGACAAATAACCTGTGTTAATAGTAAATGACATTGGAAAATATGGAGTAATAACTGCTGTTGGTTCGTTTTCTTCACGATCAATACCTAATAATTAACTGTAGTTTTTTTTTAATAACTATTCATTTTATATAATGGAAATTTTGACAGTTTGAAAAAATAATTCACCATTTGAATCACTGTTTATATATTGAGAATCTAATTTGTAGAAATTAATTTTTAAACATCTATTTTTATCTTCAAAATGTAACTTTATTGTACCTAATTGATAATCAATTGTATCATTTTTTGTTTGTAAAGGTAATTTATGAGGATTTTTCCAGTTGATAAATCACTTAGACTTGATATATTTTTTCCTGTTTAAATAACTATTCAAAGAATTACCTTTTGAAAGTGTATCGAATACAATGGATGATAAAGTTTTCTTTTCTCTAATTGATATTTTTTTATATTGAAATAATGAAGTTTTTTTTAAACATCCTACCGTGCTTGAATAACATGTGTTTTATATATATCATCATATGGATGATCCCATGATGATTTTCTCGTGTTAAAATAAAAATAATATAATTCTCCATTTTCTTCTTGACATGCTTTCCAACCTAATGATAATGGTTTCCTAAGACCTTCTCTTGTCAACCAAAGAAGATCTTTTTCCTATTTAAAATTATGTCTTTTTTTAATCTTTTCTCTTAATATTTATTTACTTTCTCAGGATGAATTTCTTCATCAGTTGACTCAGCATTTTCATCAATACGCTCTTCTAAAATTGTTTGATTATTTAATTTATATCCTGGATGATGCACTCTACAATACTTATTAAAATCCCAATGTTGTCAAAGGACACCAACAAGAGATATAAACATTTCGTCAAATGTCAGTCATATTCATATTAGGCTTTTTTTGTTTAATAAGACTTAATTTTTTGTTATACTTAAAATGACACGTACAAGAATAAAATGGTTTTTCATCTTTTTTTATTTTTACAGAGTTATGCATATGATGTTTTAATGATGAATAAAACGTTTGCCATGTACGAAACTTTTATCGAAGAGATCATCATCTATATCTTGTTGTTCACCTTCTTCATCAACTGATCGACCATGAACAAAACCTTTTAAATAGGTTCTAAAAAAACTTATTTTGTTTAGAATAAATTTTCTATTTATCATTAGAAAATGTTCTTTTGTTACCGTTTCTTAAATAATAAATTATTAGAACAGAAATGTTAACAATATTTTATCAGATCATCTTCAGATTTACTAATTGTTGATAGAGCTACTCTTACGTTGAATCTACAAAAAATAATTTGAAAGATAAGAAAAGACAAAAAAACGAGTTTGGATATGGGTGTCAGCGAAGAGAATATCAACTTCCACACACCTACACCCATACCAACACCCATTTTGAATTAGATTTTAAATGATAAAACAAATTCATTTTAGAAAAATTCTTGAAAATTCTATTGTAAAATAATTGATTATATTGACATACGATCGAAAATAATATTCAAATTCTTAATATGAGAAAATGATCTAATCGAGTTTCAATGTTAAGTTCGTGTTTAAACAGAGTATAATAATGCAATTTAATACTCATTTTATTGCTTATAAAAACATTGTATCATCAACTAGATACATTCAAACTCGAAATTCTTCATAAGAAACGAATCAAATCTATTTATTAATCAATGTGGAAATCACTCAAATAGATTACACTTTTCTCATTTATCTTCACTTTGAAAACCAATCATTAACTTATTATTATGATATATGTAAGACAAACCTTTTTCTGAACATTCCGCTATTGAACTCATTGAATGAAATGTAAAATTGGATGGTAAAGATAATTGTTTTATTAATGGAAAATAATTTATCTTATTATCATTGAGAATAATTAAATCTAAATGTGTATATGTATACATCGAATTCCTTATCATCAATTAATGGTTGTTCAAGATAATCTCTATCATGTGTATCAGCTTCTAATTGTCATTCAATTTCCTCATTTATTTCCGTATCGTCAGACATTATTTGATTTGATTCCTAAATTAAAATAAATATTTAAAATTTGTTAATATTTATTTTGTTTAATTAAATTACATCAAGTTTTTTCATTAAAATAGCAACAACAACATTAACAAGAACAAATATAACAAAATAAATTGGTGCTAATGCTGTTATTAAATGATTTTTTTCCATATTGTGGAGAATCATCTTGACGTAACGCATCCTTTCATATTGAAAATCATATAGAGATTTTTACAAAAGATAAATAATAATAATTAAAGAAAAAGGCTAAGAGTTACTTTCATTATTCCATTCTAATTATCACCAGTTGCAATACGAAATAATGTTAAAAAAGTCATACTAAAATCTTTAAAATGTGCATGTTTATGAAGTCCAGTAAATGAACGTTCTTCACTACATTCTAATTTTCCAAATAATTCAACACCAAATGCAGTAAATATGAGGAAAAGAAGAAAAAATAAATAAAAGACCCTATATAGAAACAAATAAATTATTATTAGATTAATTAATAAGATAATATTCTTTTTTTACCAAATTTCCAACTTGTGGAAGAGCTTGAATAACTGTATCTAATAATGCTCGAATATCTCCTTTTGCCATTTTTAATAATTTAAGCACTATAATTAATTCAACTTTTCATTTAGATATTTGTTTCTTTTTTCAAAAATTCATAACAAAAAAATTTCTGCCATGTTTAAATAAATTTTTCCTCTCAACTCAAATCTTTATTTTAGATGTTTGACATCAAATTTCAATAATTCATTATATTTTTTCATAACTATTTATTTCACATATCTGTAATGATGTTAGACACATAAAAAACTTAGTATAATATACTGTTTACTTGTCAAATATCTTTTATGGTTTCTTCAAGGGGTAAACAGCTGAGACTTCAGCCTTGACATCTGATGAAGTCTTGTAAAATCTTTTAAAAATTTGAAATCTCTATGCTTGAAATTCGCTGTTTTCCCCTCGAAAGAGTAGGAAATTTTCAAAATTTGATCGAATAGAATGTAAAAGGAATGATGAAATCTTCTCTAATTTATGTTACTATCTTAAATAGAAAAAGAATCTGTTAAATAGCTAAATTATCTGAATAAATCATACAATAAAATATAAAATTTAAAAAAACTAACCTCATGCAATTCTGAGTACTCTCATAACACGTATAAGAGTTGGATTAATAGGAAGTATATGTACACTATTCATTTTTTCTAAAATAATTCCAGCTATTGATAATATAACTATTGTTATATCAAGTTGATTCCATCTTTACATAAATAAAACAAATAATAAAAAAAATCTTTCTTTGTTTTTTTTTTAATAAAATGCTTGTCTTTAAAATAACGTAATATTCCAAGAGCAATAATCTTTGATATTGATTCAAAGTTGTAAATACATAATTACAATAATCAAGAACGAAATCAAATGCCTATAGAATTTTTAATAAATGAAAATAAATAATAAAGAAAAACAAAAGAATGCCGGTGGGATTAAATAAAATTCTAGTGATATAGTAACAATATTAAGACCAATAACAGCAACAATAATTAAATCAAAATATTTACTATTTTAGATATTATGCAAACGTCTTCTCCATGGTGAAAAATGTGCATAATATAGTATTTCATGCATATGACGTCTTTTTTTGCATGTGTAGCTGTACGTCGAGCTTTTTCTTCACGTTCTTATTCAGCACGACATTTATGAAAATTTTCAATAACAACATCAACAAACATATTTATTACAAAAAAACTAATAAGTAATAAAAATGATATAAAATAAACTAATTTAGTTTGATTATAATTTCTTATTGGTTGCATATCAACATCAACAGCATCAATATCATTATACATTATATGTATCCAACTATCTCGAGATGATAATACAAATAATGATAATAATGCTTTTAGTTATATATATTGATATAGATTTAGTCAATAAAACATACTTGAACTAAATTATCAAAATTATAGTGTTGATTTTTCCAACAATAATCAGACAATGATTCACATTGTTGTCGCGTTGTTATATTATGAGCAAATAGACCTTCATAATAATAAAATTTTCCTTTGAATAACTAAAAAAGAAACAGATAATATATTAATCTCTTATCATTATTATAATCAATATAAAAGCTCAACATAGTTACTAACAATATATTTAAATCAATGAGAAATTTTTTTGAAAATTTTCGATATAGAGAATCAATATTATTATTGACTTTCGAATTAAGATTTTCTTCTAATTTTCATTTTGAAATTTGATAAAACTAATTAGATTTTAAATTTATTTAGTTATTGATATCGAATCTCTTCTCATTTTTGTTATTAATCGGACATTCAACACAAATTGTTTATTATTCCAAAAGATTCAGCTAAAGTCGGTCAGAAATTTATTCATTGCTTTTCATATCTATTTACAAACTAATACTTTTCTATAATTAAAATTAAAACATATTCGGTCAGTTTGTCTTATGACATAACTTATTTACCTATTGATCACATATAAAAACTTAATAGTGATAGAAAATGTCCAACATCACTACATTTATATGGGTCATTTTCGTACTTTCTATAATAATTAATAGTTTCTTATTCATTTAATATCAAGAGAATATTTAATAAAAGACAAAATTGACATCAACGAAACTATATTCAAGTTCCTTTGACAATTCATCGAAATTTTATTTTTAATAAATCGAATCTTTTTTGTTTTACACAAAATATAGAATTGATTATGATCTATAAAAAGAAAAAAAAAATTTAATAATAGTATTTACCTGTACATCAAGTATACTAAATATAATAAAAAAATGTACAACATATAACAACAATATAACCAATTAGTCGTAATGATGAAAGTAATGTTTGTACAACAAGTTTAAGACCAGATACTCGACTAATAACTATAAATAAACAAATATTCAAATTAAAAATGTAGCAAGATCAATAATTGATGTAATAACAAGAGAACCATCCATAAGATTCCATCCACTAACGTAAATAGGTATGCAATCCAAATATAAATTCACTTGCTATTACTTTTGCCAACATTTCTATTGTAAATATTATATTTGTTAAATTTAAAAATTGTCGTTCCTACAAAACAAAATATTTATTTTAATATTTTCTTTGTTTTTTTTGTTTAATGAAAAGAAACAAAAAAAAAACGTTTGTTTCCATACAGGACTTGTTGTTGAAATCGATGGATGTTCCATAGCAAGTATTATACAATTAAGAGCTATTATAAATAATATTAAATAATCAAAAAGAAAAATATCGATTTTCGTATTGTTTTATTACTAAATTGATTACCGATTTTCTGGTGAAAAAAAAATATAAAGTGAATAATTTTCTCGTTTTTCAAAATGTTTATAGAATTGTTCTTCACATAAACAATTTAAACATAATCTTCCAATTAAAATTTCTTTCGAAGTCCATCTCTGCAAATATTCAATTTAATGATAAATATTTAGATGAAATAAGATGAGCTTAATATTATCGTCAATCAATATTAGCAACTCTATTTCAAAACATATTATCAATAGAATAGTTGTTCGAAAAAGAATATCAATTTCAACATTGATTATGAGTTATTATTGACAAAGTTTTTTCAAGAAATGTCTGCAAAAAATTTCGACAAATAGTTTTAAAAAAAACTAAAATGACTCAATTTGATGATGAATATCTTTGAGTATTTTTCTTATGGATAGATTCATTGTTTTCTTAATATACTAAGGGCGATCCAAAAGTTTGTAGAAATTCGATATATCTATTTAGGGAAACGATATTCGATCCATCTTTCTGTGTCATATGCTCGAGCTGATTGCTGTGATATTCCATAAGAGGTTTTATCCTTTTAACTTACTCTTTAGATATTCTTTCGAAGTAAACAATAGGTATTGAATTAGCCACCTTGGTTATTGTTTGAATTTCAATAAGTTTTTGAGTTCTCAAAAATTCGAAGAAGCTTCTAAGCGGCGAACACATTTTATATGACATGATTAGCGGTTATCAGATATTGATGCTCCATCACAATATTGGATGAGAATCATTATCGAAGCTTAGTTTAACGAGAGAAACTATAGTCTTTCAAGTGACATTTATTATTAAGAATATCAAAAACAATAATATATGTCAATTATTTCATGAAAATTGACAAATGTAAAAGTTATCGAACAAAAACATATCATCATAATCAAGTTCGATCACTTTTCATCATAATGTTTTTGAGCAGCATGTAACATAATGCTATTATTTACTTAAAAGTGAGAGGAATGAAGGTAAGATTTGACAAGCGTAGTCATCTTAGACTAGACTCCCAGGCTTTTAGCTATTGAGATACATTCCTGATAGACTAGATAGTCAGCAGCTACAATAATTTAGCAAGGATTATAATCAAGGAGGTCAATTCAATATCTATTGCTTACTTCGAAAGAATATCTAAACCTTTTTCGTAAATGGATACACCGAAGTTCTGGGAATTTTTGGGGTCACCCAGAAACGGGCACGGTCGGATTTTTCGAAAAATGACTTAACTGAAATTTAACGTAAGCTGAGAAATACATTGAAAAACTGTTTTTCGATGGGTTCGGTTCGTGTTTTCTTGAAATCGAACCGATCTGTGCTCATCTCTGGGGTCACCCTTAGTATATAAATCTACAACATATTTTCAATAGTTCCATTTTGTAATCTTTCCTCAATAATTAATATAATTAGCAATTAATCTTGATTAGTTAATTCAAAACTATTACGACATTTTATAGAAGATATTTTTAAAAATCTTTCAAGAATAAATCCAATTTGTTTCTCTAAATAATTAAATTTGAAAAGACAAATAAAATTGAAATAGTTGATTAATGAATAATTACATACATAAAATGAAAAAAAAGAAAATTGTTATATAGATGTGTAATACTAACTTGAAATAGAGTTTGATTATTATTAGTATTCATTAACTAATCGAAATGTTTTATCTGAATATTGATAAAAATCATGTTTAGATGTTTCATAAATACTTGTTGTTTCAAATTGATTTAAACAACTATTTAAATTATCAAATGTTAATCGACGTTTTTTTTTTGATTTTCTCAATATTATATTTATCTTGTTCAATTAATTTTCTATCTTTAATAATAAAAAGTCTTGTTAATGATGGTTGATATGGATTTGATGAATTCGTTTGTTTATGATAATAATATGTTCAATGATTTGGATAACAAATAGTTGTAAATGAATTATTTTTAAGTGTTCATTGCGTATAATTTCTATGAATAGGTAATGAAGTTTCTGAAGATTATTTATCCATTGATTCAATACATGTATGAAAACTTTGTGTTGTTGATGATGATAATGATTGAAGTTGAGATGAACGAATTTTAATTAATGATTTATATGGTGATGAATTATTTGAATTTGAACTTTTATTTAACTTCTTGAAATAATATTAAATTATTTTTTTTATTTAAATTTAATTTATTTAATTACCTTTAGTTCGAGTATTTTTATTATCTTGACTTGTTTGTTTATGACTTTCTGTTTCATCACTAATTAAATCATGTGAATTATCAGTTATATCAATATCACCTGTAAATAATTCTTCTAACTTTGAATGGATCAACTTTTCCATATCAATTTGAATCACTCTTCCAGTATCAAAATTATTACCCATTTTCTATTTAATTCAACAATTTAATTAATAGAAAAAAAAATATTTTATTTCTTTTTCTTTTTTCGTTTACTTCTGTAGAGAAAATCCTTCAACAAGAATAGCAACAAGTAAATTAAATAAAACATAATTTCCAAATGTCATGAATGCAATAAATTACAAAACTGTTCATACACTCGTATTTTCCATGCCATTGTAAAGTACTTCATTCCAATCTTCTTGAGTTAAAACCTATTTGAAAAATATTTTTTGCGAATTATTATCTTATGTGATTAGCTGTGTTTTAAGCAAGCAGGCATGTAGCAATAGGTATATAGTGCAAAAATTTAAGCAGTGACTATACATATATATAAAGTGAGCAAACAAGATAAGAGATACAAAATTGTTTCCAATGAGAATTTATCGAAGAAGATCGTTTTCTATTATTGTCTTCGGTGAAGTTCAATCGTTTTTTTGCTTTTTTCTTTCTTTCTTATTAACTATTTAGAAAAAAAGAAATGGTGAAACACCTTTGAAAATTTTCTAATTAGGCTGCTAAATAGGTTAAATTTGATTTGTGAGGTAAAATAGTGTTAATATCGTTCAAGGGAGTAATGTCTAATGTAGGATAGTATTCGAGAAAAGCTACCTGAAAAAAAGGTTAATAATGCAAAAGCTAATGAATCAAATTTTTTTCTCGGTTGCAAACAATAAAAATCTTTGAGATGAATAGCATTTTTAAAAAAAATCATTTTGATAACATGTACAACATTTACATTTAATATGAATTTCTTTATGTGATGTTATATTAAATGCTTCTATTGAACAAAATTCATCACCAAATAAATGCATACCAAGAATACTATATAGACATATTTATCAATAACAACATTAAGAAGCAGAACAACAATTTAATTTTAGCATTTTTTTCTTTCAGAAAAGCATGAACAATTAAAAAATGAAGTAAATTTTACTTGAAAAACAGTTGAAATAACCTATAGATTCAAGACGTTTGCTATGTTTTACTTCAATATATTTGCAATCAAAAAGATTCATACCCAATATACTGTAGAAGAGTTTTATTTTTATTCAAATATCTAAACACATTTATTGTGTTTCGTTTTTTTTCTTCTAAACTTACCTGAATATGAATATAAATAGAAGTAATAAAGCGAAAAAATGTAGTCAGATTATTCATTGTTTTAAGCATGACAATCTATAGCGAAAAACAAAATCAATTAGATTTAGTTATTGAAACTTTTTCTAAAGTTGAGATTAACATAAATTTATATATGAAAATCCTTTCTTAAACAATCATTTTCTGTCTTTTATGCATTTCTAAACATTTAGAAAATTCTTTCAAAATTATTGAAGATAGTTATTTAATAAACTATTATAAAAATGGAAAATAAGTATACTCAAATCAGATACCTGTCGGATGTGATAAGAGTTAAAACAAAAAATAAAATAGAATCGATTAGTTGAATATGACATTTCTACTAAAGATAGTTATCAATGAATTGATAAGTAATTCGAATGAAAAAAAAGATAAAATAAAAGAGAAGAACAAAAAAAAAAGAAAAGGTTGATTTACCAATTGTCGCCTAAGTGTTGGCATAAATCTGACAAGTTTAAGTACACGTAATAATCTAAATGTTCGTAAAACTGATAATCCACATATTTTTATTTCCTTGTAATTCAATAAGACTCATGATAACAATAGCACTATCAAATAAATTATAAGCATTTTTAATATATTAAAGACAGCCATCAGCAATTATTTTTAAAATCATTTCAATAGTAAATAAAGATGTAAATACTAAATTGCAATGTTCTAATGCATTTGTTAATGATTGAGGTTGTTCACTAATCGACGATCTTGCCCTATTCTTTCCAGGTTCTTGTTTTTCTTTACTTTCAGACAAGATTCCTGTATTCAGGCAAGATTCTTTTCGACAGGAAAGTAAAAAGAATCTTGTCTGAATTTCAAGATGACAAGAATCTCGCCTGATTAATCAGAAATAAAAGAATCAGGCAAGAATTATAAGATATTCAAGATATATTTAACGTTCAGACAAGATTCTTGTTAAAAGAAAAGATAAAGAATCTTGTCTGAAGTTCAAGATCAAAAGAATCTTGTCTGAAAATTATGAAAAAACAGAAACTGGAAAGAAATATAAGATATTTTAAATTTCTTAGTATTCAGACAAGATTCTTATGATAGAAAAGAAAAAGATTCTTGCCAGCTTTTCAAGATCAACAGCACGTGATGTCGTCTTTGTATGACCAAATATATAAAGGCAATGTCTGAACGTTATTTATTCATTATTTCAATTGGATGTATAGAAAAAGTTTCCATTCGATATCGAGAAAACAGTGGAATATATGATATCTTTTTTTCCATTGTTTTCAGAAAACTTACACTTATTAAGCACATTTCGATATTTTACCAATCCACATCTTTCTATTTTATTTTTTTTAGATTTTCTTTCATTATCCACAAAAGTGTTTTTTTAATGGACGAAGGAAATATCGATTTTATCAAAAAAATATTGTTTGATAATGTTCTTGGTAGTATAGGTAATATCTATATGCACTTTATATCTTTTTGATTAAAATACTATCTTTTTTAGAGTCATCACCACATACAGATAAACAACGTCGATGGCGTGCTAAGAAAAAAGATCAACACCATCGTACTCAATTATCTCTACATCATTTACTAGTTGAACAAATTGTAAATGACTTATTTTAATCGAGCTAGCTCAACACACAACGATGATGAAGTTTGAAAAAATAAGTATTTTTTTTTGATAATTAAAATTTTGTTTTTTTTTTTGTATTAAAAACTGAAACTGCTTTAACAACATGTGAAATTAAAAGTATTTTTTTGTTTTTTTTTTACATTTGTTGTACATGGTGTGCAAAGCTTATAATAAAACGATATGAAAAAAGAGTAATAATAACCTACAAAAGGCTTTTTTAATGTGACCAGAATTAGGCACGAAACACAAGAAATAAGAAACAGACAAGAATTTAAGAAAAAAAGAATCAGGCAAGAACATCAAGAAAAATAAGAATCAGACAAGAATTCAAGAAAAGCAAGAATCAGGCAAGAAAGCAAGAATACAAGAATCTTGTCTGGAGAAGAACTTCTTGCCTCACCAGCCAAGATTCGGTCTACACGAATCTTGTCAGAAAGGCAAGATCAGTTTTTTCAGGCAAGAATCTTGTATAGAAAGAATAGAAAAAGAATCTTGTCTGAAAACCAAGAAAAACAAGAACCTGGAAAGAATAGGGCAAGATCGTCGATTGGTGTTCATGATATTCAATATCCATTGATAATGTATTTATCAGAAATGTCCATCGCGACGCTGCCGCGCCGCTGCCGCTGCCGCTGCCGCTGCCGCGGTGGTGGTGGCGGCGCGGCAGCGGCAGGTTTTTAAAAAAAATCACCGCGGCAGCGGCGCGGTAGCGGCAGGTTTTTTAAAAAACCATCGCGGCAGCGGCGCGGCAGCGGCAGGATTTTTTTGGAGGACATTGAAAAACTGTATGAATTTAATAGAATTTCACGATTTACAAATGAAACGCCCTGATATTGAATAAATCTGATGGACTAGTACCCATATCTCTGGTCAAATATAGTCACAGCAGTGAAATTAGAAACACTTTTTTGAAAATCGTCGCGGCAGCGGCGCGGTGGCGGCACGTTTATTTTATAATTCATCGCGGCAGCGGCGCGGCAGCGTTTCTTTTATAAGTCATCGCGGTGCGGCAGCGTCGCGGCAACATTTTTTTATAAACCGCCGCGGCGCGGCAGCGGTGCGGCAGCTTTTTTTTTCTAAGGCCGCGGCGCGGCAGCGGCAGATTTTCAGCCGCGATGGACATCTCTGGTATTTATAATAATAGCTGATAATACAATACGACGAAACTATTTTCCTGCAACAAAATTTGATATAGATTTTTGAAATTTATTCCAATAAGACCATATACATTTATTCATAGATATTGACATTTTTGACTTTCTTTTTAGTTCATTATCATCGTCTTGTTCTTCATTAATAGTTAATTTCTCATTTTCAATATATTGACGATGACAATCACATTGATTTTCTTCAAGATATCTTTCTGTATTTTCAAAATCTAAATAATTTGATTTAATTGGTTGTTTGTTAATCGATATATTATTTAATAAAATCGATAGAATAGAACTATTATCTTGATCCCAATAAAATGATGATGAATGTTGAGTAATGTCCATATTATCAAGATGAGCATTTGTTATATGTATTAAATCTAATATATAAGATTATTCAGGACTAGCAGCTTGTGCATCACCTAGTGATGGAGATAATGATGTTCCTGTTCGATTTGATAAACTATCATCTATATGATTATATCGACAATTTAATTGATGAATTATTTCTAGATTTGATAAGGAATATAAATTCGATTTGGAATGTCGACTTAAATGAATTTCAATTGTTCTGGATTTATCATTTACAAGTTCTTTTCGACGAGATTATTTTTTTTTTACCAATTAAACGTTTTTCTTTAACCTATTAACAAATATGTAAAAATCTAGAAGGTATTTGATTATTTCATTTCCTATGGAAAGTTTCGAATCTCTTCTTACTCTTTGCAAATATCTTAATGTAATTATAGAATAACTACATTAATCATCATGATTGTTAACTATTAGACGGCTTGTCTACGTAACGCGACACTTCACTGATTAAGTTTCGAAAAAATTCTTTTTCGAGTTGGCTGGATCTGAATGAGTATCTAGACGCAGTTTTTAACGCTGATTACGAATTTGACATTTATTTTGTACAAAAATTAGATTTTGCCATTGAAAACCGGGTTTTAAACTTTTGTAAAAATTGTATTTTGGGTTCTATAACCAAGAAATTTTTCTAAACAAAATCGAGAAACATACCTTTCGATGCAGAATTTCATTCTCTACAAGTTAATCTATTCAGTTTTGACGTTTGGGGCTAAGGAAAATTTGTAGACTCTTATACAGTTTCTAACTTATTCCGTCTCTTGTAAGCTTCATCCATGACGATACATCGATCTCGTTCTTGCGTAGAACGATTAGCTATACAGAAAATACGAACACTTATAAAAATGAAATCGTTCTGAGCACGTTAAGTACCTCAAAATTGGTCGACAAAAACTATGTTACAGCGTTACGTTTGAACAAGCCGTAGAGAAAATCTTTCGATTCTCTGCTACTAAATACATATTTAAAAAAGTTGATTCGATTAGCGATTAGCTTGAACAAAAATTATTCTTTAATAAATTGTTCTTAATCGTAATTAAACTATCAAATGTTATTATTGATAAGACAATAAACAATATTCGTCTATTTATATTGAATAAAACAACTTTATTGTTAAGATAATCGTTTAATATATATTCGAAGATTTTTTTAAAACGAATCTCTCATTCTTTTCATTAAAATAGATTAACTAATTAAATTTATCTTAAAATATTTCAATCGATCGTTCTATATCAGTTAAGTTCTATGAATACAAACCAAAATAATTCCGATGTGAATAAATGATTTATCAATTTTGAAATCATTTATTAGAACTAAAAACACTCGAATAAATCTTCACGAATTCATATTTCATAAGATATGAAAGAATATGGACAGAAGAATTCAAGCAGATACTATTCGATTTGAAATAAAATAGTCAAATATTCAGTTAGAAGAAATGAGTCTTTTTTTAAATATTTCAGGTGAAAAAAAACATTGACTACTTATTTGTTTGATTTTAAAATGTCAACTTTGAAAAATAAAATAATTATTTTAATTGAATACTTTCGTATATAATTAAAATGAAGAGAACTCTATTTAAAATAAAAAAATAATATTATGATCTAATCGAAAAAGTATTTGCATTCAAATCTATTTATCTATATAGTTTATCCTATTGTATAACTAATCATTAATATACTGTTTAAAGAAGTTAGTTCGATTGAATAATTCCCTTGTCAATCAGAAAGAAAAAACCGGCCTTAGGAGGAGTTCATTTGAGTAAAAATTTGTTGATTAATCTTACATTTGCACAATTTAGTTTATAATTTTTCCAAAAAATATTAATTCTTTTGTGTGGGTGTGAGACTAAAACTATTAATGATATTCTACCCACACACCCACACCCTATATATGTAAAATGAAAATATTTGATTAGGTAAATAAATAGATGGATGATATCGAACGGAGAAAAAAAGATAAAAACGCTTAGAACACCAAAATACAGAATACAAAATGAATGATTGCACAAAGAGTATCGACACAACCGATAATATAAATAAAATAAATAATATTTTGATTAAGGTAACATATTGTTCGAATACTTATTTTCTTGTTAATTTGTAAAGTCTTCCTCACAAAAATAAATATTTTAAGTCCATATTGTAAGTGGAGCTATGCCTAAAAGGAAAAAGAAATGAAATAACAAATAGTTCATAGACTGGTGGATCTTATCAGAAAATTATTGAAAATGTCATATGCTCTTGTTTTTCATGATAAATCATGAATGTATTAATCATTGATTAGAAGAAAAACATTCTTTTCTTTCTCTCTCTCAATATAAAAAGAATCTATGATATTCATGCTATGATAATTGTCCAAACTTATCATCCATAATGAAACGGAAAATTCTTCCTTTCACGAGTTACCATATTAGGTAAATAATTTTCTTTATCAAGAAAATAAATTAGACATTCGATAACAAATCTTTGAATACCTTTCAATATTTGTTGAGCCTCAAAAACAAAATAAAAACATTATTCAAAATATCTATAAAATATATCCATTCGCAAATATACTTTCATTGTAGCAAAAACTTTTTCATAAATCAACGTATTTTGTTTTGCTACATCTTGAAAATAAGAATAAAATTCATCTGATACTCGATCAGTTACTTCAATGTTATTTGGAATGTCGAATCGAATACCTAACAGCATCCTAAAAAGTCAAATAGTTTTCTATGGAAATCATGGTAATTTTAGATATGAAA